ACTTGTTATCAAGAAACGTTATAATTTCCCTCAGGATAATCAGTAAGTTTATATATCATTCCAAATTTCTCATAGTTTCCAAGTGTTGAACTAATCAATAGCCTGTTACTACCGGAACTTTTGCACGGGTTTTTTCTAGTGTGCAGTTGATCACAAACTGTACACCTGTAAAAATATTTGTACAGTTGAAAATTCATCTACATAAGTAAGTTCAAGTGGATAAATAACTAAAAAAAAACATATTTAAGTTTATAAAATTCCATTCCAGAGTTGACAAATAAATATATCTACTAGAATATTCTTCATTTTTTGGATCATTTGTTACTAGACCTGTATACATGAGGTGCAACAAGGCGTCATGTATTAAAAATGATGAAGTTAAAATATAATTGTGCAATTGAAAAAAAATCGTTAGGAAAAGCTCTTCTCTTTTGTAGCCCAGGTTTTTTTTTTACTGTGTGTGTGTTTTTTGTTGTTGTTTTTTTACGTGGGTTTGTTTGTTACGCACAAACCTACTCAAGGGGTATCTGCGCTAACCGTCCCTAATTTTGAAGTGATAGACTAGAGGGAAGGCAACTAGTCAACACCACTCACCGCCAACTCTTAAACTACTCTTTTATCAACGAATAGGAAGAATGACCATCACATTATGATATCCTCATGACTGAAAGGGAGTTCATATTTGATTAGTAGATTTGAACCTGTGTCTCGTAGATTGTGAGTCGAGTGCCCTGATCATTAGGCCATGCTAGGCCTTTTCACCTAGGAACAGATCAGGGAAACGAAACCAGTGGTAATAATATATCAAACTATGAAATTAAAAAGTCTGTTGGCTACTTATTGAACTAACACAAATTGCTAAAGTATGCACATTTAGTCTCTTTAAAAACATTTTTAAACATGACTGCAAGACTTTTAATACAGTGCTTGATGAAATTTAAGGAGTTCACAGTCAATCCCTTAGCGTGGATGGTGGGTGGTAGGGTGCTTCTGATTGGCTGCCTTTCCTTTGGACAATAATCCAAAATTAGGGACGTTGGCAAATAACCTTAGTAGCTTTGCCTTGCCCGCCATGGCCAGGTGGTTAGGGAGCTCGCGGGATCGAATCCCCGTTCCGCCAAACATGCACGCCCTTTCAGCCGTGGGGGCATTATTATGTGACGGTAAATTCCACTATTCGTTGATAAAAGAGTAGTCCAAGGGTTGGCGGTGGGTGGTGATGACTAGCTGCCTTCCCTCTAGTCTTACACTGCTAAATTAGGGACGGCTAGTGCAGATAGCCCTCGTGTAGCTTTGCGCGAAATTCAAAACAAACTTTACATACAAATACAAACTATTTTTGATGTAGGTGTTTATAAGCTTATGATGGATGACAGTTTGTATGAATGAATAGTCAGGGTACATTCTTTAGAATTTAAAGTAAAATATTATTTAATATGTCTATTATACATAAACAACAATAGTAATTCCACGTCACACGCACGAACTTCCGGCAAAAACTCCTTTTCCTAAAATACTGTTACGTCTCCGTTAGTTAATTGATTTTTCCGTAACTTCGTTCCAACGAAACTTTAACCACACAAGTCTTTACTTAATAAAACTGGTTTATTCTTTCCGAATATAACTTTATCGATACACTCAACTTCAACAATCGCGTTAAAACAAACGCTAATCAACGAACGTCAACAATACTTTCGACTGCAGTTCAGTTACTCACTATCTACACACACATTACCTCCCTTCACCGCGTCACGTTTTCCCCTCTTATATATACCAGCCTACCCTACTAGTAAATACTAGAGCATTCGCCAAAGTACATGATAATTCTAGAAACGTTGCGTCACTGTAGACATGTGACTCGCTGACGCAACAATACTAATAAACGGCTGAAAATCACTTCGTATAGCTTCATCAGAAAGGTTGTTTTCCTGAAATAATGACCACATTTTTCCCTCTTCCTCTCAACGATTTCAACCATATTTTAACCCTATATAGTTTCATCAGAAAGGTTGTTTTCCTGAAATAATGACAACATATTTCCCTCTTCCTCTCAACGATTTCAACCATATTTTAACCCTATATAGTTTCATCAGAAAG